GAGCCCGGCAGGGCCAGCAGGGCTCTCGACTGCTGCTGAGGGACCTGGTGGCCAGTGCCACCACCGCCTTCCAGAACGGGCACAGGAATCAGAATTCATGCGTTCTTCCAAGGAAACCCAAAGCCTTTCACCTTCCACAGCCCTCTACTGCAACCCGTCAGTCCTCGCAGGCTGCTTTAAACGCGACACCTTGAAGAACCAGCAGATCCCTTGGACCACATGTCTCCTAACAGGGCACATTTTCCTGCTTTGTTTCGTTTCTAAACGAGGGGTCTAACGTCACAGGCCCCTCTAGCCCCCAGTTTAACTGGAATGAATCCTGGACCAAGCGCCAGCTCAGGGATAAGCCGAGCAATGCCCCTGCCTCCAGAACACACCTCCGGAGCCCTCCTTGGGAACGCAGCAGAGCCTCTTTCCTCCAAGACATTCCCACTCCAGACCTTTACAAAAAGCTTTGGAGCCCAAAAACAGATGCAAACTGCACGGCAGGAGACAGTTAGGGGGAAATGCAGCCAAGAAGACAGGGAAGAAAGCCACAAAACCCAACCCGCAAAGGATCAGGAGGTTTAACCAGAGGCATTCCTGCACTGCCAGCACAGCAGCCCTTGCCAGAGCCACCGGCATCACTTGCAGGACGATGGCCAAAGCCCTGTCCCCAGGATGGGCAAGTCACCAAATACAAGCAAAAAACTTATCGAGCAAAAAGCACCCAGCTGCAACAGGTCTGAAGCACGAAAGGGACCTGAGCAATTCGGAGGCTCCGGTTCATTTTTGGCAGCAGGCTCAGCCACTGTGGTTGCCCAAATAATTTACCGCTTATTTAATGTGGCTATTAATGGTTAAAAGCAGTGCCAGAAAGACTTGTCTGCAGTCTCGATCAATTGAAGCGCTGCATCTGCAGCTCCCCTTGCACGCATATGAAGAACAGCACCATTCAATAGAATTTCAGCTGAAAGATGCATTTATGAAATAAGGAAAACAGAGATTAACGGCGTACCGGCATAAACCAGGTCACTTGCTCCAAGGGACCCAACTGGTTGGCAGCAAAAGTGGGGACAGTAGCACGAGACCCTCCTGGTTGAGGCTTTAGAGCAAAATACAGAGCTCACTCCATAGGGCTCAGGAGAGGAGAAAAGCTGCAGTCTAAGAGGGACCTTCTGCTACTGCAAAAGTCTTCTGTAACTGCGGGGATTTAAAAAACATTAAAAAGAAGATTGTTATGTCACTGACACTCCTTTTCTTCCCCAAACAGAGGCAGCTTTTATCAAAGAAAGGTCATATCCCCCCGAAGTTCAGACTGAAGGAACCAAAGGATCCAAGAATCTATTTCTATTTTGCTGCAGTGGAAGTACATCAATCTCTTCCCTCCTCTTCCTCCCCATTCCTTGGGGTTAAGAAGGCCATAAAGTTCTTTGGACTTAACAGAAGCCAAATCCTTCACCCCAGTTTTATTTATGCAGTGCATAGCATTGCAGTGACAGACTGCGATAAGGTCCCCAGCTTCTCATTTCAGCTCTAAACACAGGAAAATCCCTCTACCACAGCCCGCAGAAACGCGGAGCTGCAAAAACACGAGCCTGGGAATGTTCATTTTGAAAGACACCGCGATTCCTCCGGAGAACTATTTGCAGTGGCCGGATTTCACTTCTGAAGTGCAGAGCAAGTCAGGTCTTTGGGGTCAAAACAGCAAATTTGGAGGTTGAAGTCAACGGCCCCTCAGCAAGAAAGTCACCAGCAGGACCCTCCCTTGCGTGTCCTGCTCCGACGGCCGGGGGTGACAAACGGCCCCGGCGCTCGGGGTGGCACTGCCACCCTCTCACTCCTTTTGCAAACCCATTTTTCCCTCCATGACTGCAGCCCTCTCTCCCAGGAAGCTGAGAAATATGAGCTTTGTTCACAACCCACCCATGTGTCCATCTACAGCGCCCAGGTCCCAAAGGTTTGTAGAGCCCACGGCCCAACGGGAGCTTAATTTTGCCTGTCACTCTTGGCTTATTGTAAAGCACTTGACGGAAACGTGCTTTTTGCCTTCATTAATATTTTCCATTAACTGCAGCAGAGTTAGCACTAAAAGCACAGTATTTAAGTGCCTGGCATTGTCATTTTCCAGCTGCGGCATCTTACGAATTACAAAAACAATTCAGACTCAGTATAGAAAATGTGGGTGGCCATTTAACACACAGCATAATTATATAATGCATTGCAGAGAAACCCAGTATTTTAAATGCATGCAGAAGTCTCACTTAACGTTCCAGTCCAGCACAGGAAGCGTTTGGTGGATATAACACTCTCCCACTAAAATTACTGCCTCCATTTTTCTATCAGAAACATGCAGTAACTCACATTGATTTAGTGCTCCAAATATGAGGATGTTGCTGAGCTCGTTGCAACTAAGTTCAGTAATTACCTGCTAACAACCAAGGGACCCAAAGCAAAGAGCTCTCAAAGTGCAAGGGCTTGGAGGGGAGAGGGGACGATGGCGTCTCTCTGGTTTTTGCAATGATTCCCAATGAAGTTTTCTTCTGGGCAAGTGAAACACAAAGCTAAAAACACAACTTCATCCACTTCAGTGCACGAGATGAGTAAGAGTATAGAACAGGCAAAGGGAAAAGGGGGAAACACTGAACTAAGACCACCTAAATTCCAACTAAGATATGTGAAATCACTAGTGAAACGCAGCTAGTTCAAGGCTGCAATTAATGGCAATTAATGTACAGGATGGGAGAGCAACACCTGTAAGGAAAGAACGTTGTGCTCAAACATCTGGGTAAAGCAACTAGTTTGCAAACATTAAAAGAATGAAACTGCCAGAGCACACAAATTCATCCCACTGGGATTCAAATGTGCTATTCCAGGAAATCCGGGTACTTCAGAATGTGGTGCATAGGTTAAAGGCAGAGCGAAGGGGAACGTGCATTAAACGTGCAGAGACCCGAGAGCATCAGTCCCCCGCGAGCAGAGGAAGCCCCTTCGCTCCAGCCGAGGCAGGAGGACACCGGCCTCTCCATGGAAAGGCCGTGGACACCTCGGTGGGATTAACGCGTCCGCGCGGGATGCGGATACGGAGTCACCGGAGCCCCTGGCAGAGGTTTGTGCAGCAGCGACGGGGCCCCTCGCTCGCTCCGTCTCTCCGCGTTGGCGGGACATTCCCGCTTTCCTTGCGGGGCAAGGACAAGCAAGGACAACTGTGTTTCCAATTATGGGGAGCAGGTGAAGACATGCAGTCTACACTGCAAAAGGAGAAAAAAGAGAATTTGGTGCCTGCTGGAGGTGCTTTTCCCCTAATTGCATGCAGCTATTTTAAAATAAATCCTTTCAAACACACGAAAAGAAATACAATCAACTACTGCACGCGTTGCTTTGCACGAACACCCAGCGAGGCTGGAGAAGCAGACGCAGCAGAAGCTGCTGAGCTGCCTCCAAGTGCAAGAGCTCCTCCAACAGGTAATGCCCTCACCTAGAGGCAACTTCCTGATTTATGGACATATTTATAGGGAGAATTTGCTTATTTTGCAGCTGCACTTGTGTAGCAACTCTTCTGGAAGCTAGGAAATGCACCCACAAAACTCAACTTTCCCAGATAGGGCTCTTGCTTGCGACAAACAGCTCTAGGCAGGGGTGCACACGCGTCCCATCTAGGACCAACCTGTTCTCCTCGGGGGACTTTCTCCTTCAACACTTTCCACATTTAGGTTAGCTTAGATCAAGATCTTAATGAAGATGCACTCAACATCAGCAAATCTTAAGTTCATATCAGCAGCTTTGAACGTAAACACCAAGCCAAGGTCTGCAGGCACCCACGTTTGGGAAAGGGACATTTGGGGGAAGCTCTGAGGCTCCAGCTCCGTCACCACGTGCAACAGCAAAGCCCATGGATATTTAAATAAAGGATAAATAAAGGATATTTAAATAAAGCCACGGGGGCCCCGAGCAAGACAACTAGTTGTCTGGTAGGAAGAAGAAGGCGGATGGCAGCAGAAACCTCAGCACAGCCCTGAACTGCCCCAAAACCAAGAAAACTTACGGGTGAGCTCGTGGAGAGCTGCAGAATGACTTGTTTGATCTCTTACACATCTGAACCTCTTTCCTTTAGAAATTTGGGCCAGAAGGAGGAGGTTTGGCGCATGAGAAAAACATAACTTCCCTCTGAGCGAAGCTGTCACGTAGCCCAGTTTCCAGCGGCGGGATGTAAAGCTGAAGCTTCCCAAGAGATGGGAATCCACGCGCTGGGAAGGGGCTGCGCTGGGAACAGAGGCTTTGGAAAACAAAGCAGAGGAACCAAGTCTCCTCCAGGAGGAACCAGACCAAGAATGAAGGGATGGGGGCAATCACTGGAGGAACCCTCAAGGAACCAGCGCTGTCTCCGAGCACCGATGGCTGCATCCATTTGCATCAGGACCTTTATGGGATCCTGGCCCCCTGCCCACTTGGTTCCTTTCCCCATTGCTCTCCAGGGATCACTTTAGTCAGTGCAAGCAAGAAATCAGTTCTGCTGCTGTTTAAGTGGTATCTGCAGTTCCTGCAGAGGACATCGACACTGAAGCTTTGGGAGGACAGGCTTAAAAGCATTTATTTCAAAATGCTCCTTCTCTGCCTTTATAACTCCAAGGCAATAAACGAGCAGCTCCTCACTGCCTCCCTGCACGCGGAAATCCAGCGTATTGCCCGCCCCACAACACACCTCCCAGTGGGTTTCTTACAGTGGGTTAGACGTTCCCTTCAATGCACCAGAAGGATGAAGATGCATTTGACTCCCAGGAACAATCTGGCTTTCAATTTACCTCCTCTCACATTTGATGGAGATGTGGAAATGCTGCACTGAATGGGTGAAAAAGCAAAGGAAGAGCTTACTGTTACAGCTACCACTTTTAAGGCTCATGTTTATCCCTATCTTTTCCTTTAATCGACTTCTTTGGATAGGAAGAGGGCAGCTCTAGACTCTTACAGATGGCTCCTGGCAAGAAAAATGCATTTCTTTGAACTTAATGTACGGTGGGGATGACAGGGGACGCTGCCACTTGGAGCGTTATGACATGGCAGAGGACGGGTCACTTGTGCGTGTTGTGCTACATTAAAGAAGAGCTCGGAGCAGGATGCAAAATAAAGAGCTGCAGGGGGTGGAAGATGAGGCCTGGTTTGAGTGCAGGCACTGCCCTTTATTCCTAGGGCCGATACAGACACTCGCAACCCGCTCCCGCTTCCAGCGGATTTCATGCAGCCGAGCGGAGTTCACATCCAGCACGGGCTGTATGTGCTGGCAACGGAAGGCCGGAGCTGAACAAAGCTTTTCTGAAAGGATTGCAAATAACCGCAGCTCTTCCCTGCAAAAAGGCAGGGAAGCATCACCAGGAGCTTCGGCTCTTCCCTGCAGCGCCGGCGGCAGCTCCCTCTCCGTGCACTGCCCAAGGCAGCAGGTTGGCAGGGCCAGGGAGAAGCCACAGGGAAGCCGAGAGCAAACGGGCATCGCCCACAGGTCCTGGAGCCTCCTCACCTGCAGCCCACGGGCAGCACCGTGCCCGGAGACGTCCGTGTCCGGAGACGGCAGCGCTGGAACCGGCTGAAGCCAAAGAACTTGGAAAACACAGAGGGGAGGATGATCCGGGCGATTCCAGGAGGGAAGGGACAACTGGCATCATTTTAGAAGAAGTTTCCAGCTGGCTTCTGAGGCACATAACTAAGCTCCGACGCAGCCTCTGCTCAGGGCTTAACAGCATTTTCAACCCGGCCTGTTTGAATTTTTCCAGATCCAAATCCTCACTGCCCGGCACTCGCTGCTGTAGGAATTTAACCTGAAGAACAACGGTTGAAAACGTTGTCTTTCTTTTGCTAGGCAGGGAAACTGATCCCTAAGAGAAGGCAGAAATTTGGCAATACTTGCAAAACAATTACAAAGCTTCTAATGAGTTTTACTAAATGTCACTTTTGCAGTGAATCCTCCTGACTAGATGAGTTTGAGGAGCATGAGCAAAAGGAAGACATTCCTGCAGAAATTCAATAAATTCCACAGCATTATGGAAGTCATATAAAACAGCCTGGAGCTGAAAATACCATAAAATTGTGAACTGGAACTAGTGGCATTGCTACCGTAAGTTTTCCTCGCTCTTTATTTGAAATTAAAGTTTTACTGTTTCCATAGTGCTGGAGAAGCTCTATTTACGGAGAAGAAAATACAGTATCAAAAGAAAAGAGCAAAGTACCCGAGTTTTACAGCAAACAAATCTGAGTATGTCATTCCCGCTGCCCATCACTCCCCTCCTTCACGGAGAATTGATGCACCGGTTAAATGCCTGGGGATGGCATAAAACACCCTCCTGGCTGCCTGGTCTGCAGAACAGCTCCACGTTCACTGCCATGATTGGGATTAGAACAAATCAAAGTTACCATTTTTGTCAGCACCCACCCTAATCTGATCCGATCTGCCTCTCGGGGGGATTTCTAGCATGTAGGAGCTCTGGAAAGGCAACGCTCCATTCGGACACGGACGCCCTCCTCCTTGCTGGGTCTTAGAGAAGCGTTACACGGAGAAGTTAGATCCACCTCCGTATCCCCCCCATCTTTCCATGGGAAAAGAGACTCCTAAGGAGATCCGCTGCGTCCTCGGGACGCGGGTGGCCGGGGCAGCCCTGTTGTACCTCAGCGATGCCGGCTCCAGGGCCCGGAGCGCTCGGAGGGCGCCAGGGCCCGCACCGAGCGCTAACCAGAGCTGCTGGGTCCTGACCTGGGGGAGGAACAGGAGAACGGGCTGAGTAAAGCAGACACGGAGAAACCAAGACTTAGAGACCGAATTATCCCCTCCCCAGTGTCAATTAAACAGCAAATGCAATTATTTCATACCAGCAACTCCATCTAGAGCACACTTTAGCCTTAGGGAGACTGGGAAAGATTAGATGGGGGCTCACATAGCAGCTCGCATCCCCCGTGACGCTGTCGAGATCGGGGACATCGGCCGGTCGCGGCTTCTCGCGCAGCGGAGAGCTGCGTTTTCCAGACGGAGCAGGGAGCGGGCGCCGGGCAGGCACCGAGAGCCCCGCAGCGCACGAGGACGGGCGGGAGCAACGCGACGCGCGGGTGAAAAGCGCATTATTCACTGCAATATTAAACACTGAACGCAGCGGGCTGGCAGAAGAGGCCCTCAAGGAAAGATGCCCAGGACTGCCGAATTAAGAGGCTCAAAAGCTTCCACTTAAGTATGTGGAGCACACGCTGCCCTTCAACATAGCCCACGGCTCCCTAGTCACATCAGCCATCAAGGGGTGTCACCCACAAAGCTCCATTTCGGTACGTATCAAACCCCAGGGCCGTGGCTTACGCGGAAGCCCTGGAAGGCAAAAGGGAGCCCCGGCCGAGCAGGGAATTAACTGACAAGATGCAAACGCGGTGGCTCCAGAGCACGGCCCTGACCCCCAGCGAGTCCTCCCGGATGAGCTTTTGAACCGAGACTCAGCAGAGGCAGCGGCTCTAAGTGGGAAGGCAGAAAAGTGAGTTTCCGATGGCGTTCAAGGGAATATTTAGGACAAACCCGATCCGGTCTCAAATGCTGTTGGGAAACCCCACTGTTGTTCCACGCATTGGGAAAGCATCAACTTAACACTCGCCAGACAACAGTCTTTAAGCAAGTGTCAAGCACTAAGTGGGGCTGAAACGCAAAGGAACAACCTTTTACAAGGTTGCAAGAAGCATCTCAAGATGTGGCCTGTTAACAAGCGGGCACGAGCGCGCCCGACTGAGGCAGTGGATTATTTCTGAATCTCCAGATAGCTCCTGTAAAGGTTGTCATTACTTGTCTCTGCTATCAGTACCACAGTGACAAGCAGCGAGGTGCAAAAACCCAAGTCAGCAGCAGCCAAACAGCACGTGCTCCACACCACGCTCGTGCAGGACAGGTTTTAGATAATATTAATCCAAAATCCTTAAAATATTTCTGCTTGCTCCCTGGAAAACACAGAAACAGCCTTGAGGTGTTTCCTGTGTTAGATACAGGTCTCGCAGCCAGGAGCTGTCCTGGTGGCAGAGCCTTTCCCACCGGAACATCCTGTGGCGCGGGACGGTCACATCCACAGGGCAGAGCACTCTGTTAGGAACAAAACTTTCCAGTCCCTCAAGCTCTCTGCCCGTAAGTAATAGCACCTCAATCGTGACCGATCACCCCCGTGTAGCTGTGGGGATGTCACTGCTTTACACCTTACCCAGCACGGGCTGCTCCGGGGATGGAGGGCAGGAACTCCTTTCCTTGCACGGTAGCTCTGCACAGCTGCCTCGTTCCCAACTTTCCTGAGGAATTTCAAATAAGAACAACAAGCCAAGCGTGCATGAGCTGTGGGATAACACCCGAATCTTTAACTACCACAAGGACTCCTATAATATCCAAGACTAAAACCTTGTGAAGCAGTTATGGTAAACACGCAGGAACAACAGCCGGCGCTACGCTTCTGCACACACAATTTAAATGCAACATTTACCCTTCAGAAGTCGACTTCCAAGTCCGGTTGACTTCAAACTTCTCCTTAAGCTCAACAACAGACAGGCGCCCTGGTTATTTTTGCATCTGAGAAAGTCATTGCAGACGACGCAAACCAGTCGGCACACGGCAGAGCCGGCGCTTCCCAGCACGGGAATCACTGACAGGGAACAGAGCAGCTCGTTTGCAAGGGGGAAAACCTGGGCACGTTTCCAAGTGGAAGGATCTCGTTTCTGGGCTTGACCAGACAACGGGGGTTCCCGGGAGCAGCTCTCCTTGAGCCGAGCCGTTCCGGGGAATATCCAGCACCAAGGAGCACGTTGGCGTTGCCTCCTCCGAGCTGCAGGACCAGCGGACCCAATTCTCATCTTTCTAGATGATTCTCATGTAGAAGATTCTCATCTTTCACTCTTTTTGTTGAGCGAAAAGGAATGTCAAGGACATCCTGTTTCATTCTTTGTCAAGCATTTCCTTTAGCCTCGATTGGAATTACCAAATCCAGCATGTATCACATACACACTCCAAGCTCTGTGTGTTTTCAGCTGTTTCTAAGGCAGAGATGAGCTATGGGAGCTCAGACAAGCTCCTTCAGCCTGCACCAGGCTGAAACGAGGCTCTAAAAAGCATCGGATGCCACAAGAGGAATGCAAGTAATTTTCAGACACATAAAGGTAGTTACTAAGGACACACCAGGACAACCAAAGGTCACCCGAGGGGATCACAGCGTGAATCAAGGCCCGTTCAAAGTCTTTCACCTGGCAGCCAACGCTCCATCAGATTTAACACCACACAGCGAGAAACCGCAGCCGGAAAAACACTGGAAAGAAGAACTAACAGAAGCCAAGCCGTGGGACTTGCAGTCCTCTATTTCGGTCATCTGAGGGACTTCACAGCCTTGTAACAGAGCCAGGACTAGAATGCAAAAAGCTTCCAAGTCCCCAGAGGTCACAGCTTTATCATAACCCTGTTCCTGCTTCCTTAAAAAAAGCAATTTCTGAAATTAAGAGTAGTATGGAAGGGCCTGGGAAGGCCACATGTATCTCTGCACAGAAGGTCTTCAAGCCTTACCCAGCACTAGGCTTCTTTAATCGGATTACACTTAAAACCAGACATTTTACTCTGTGATGCTAAACTTGAAAGGATTTCTCCTAGTGTCCTAATTCGGATGAGGCAAAAGTCATTCCACCTAATTTCCAACCCACTTCAATATTAGATTTGCAAGACCACCAGTGACATTTTCTGGCTTGTGAGTCTGAAAAACAGCAGGCAATAGGATTAGACATAAATCTAATGAGATAATGTATTTACATAATATTTATGGCACTCACTTTTAGGCTAGGTTGTGTATTGTATCCTTAGCATGCAACACTGCAGATACTTCCTTTTACCTGAAAAAAGCTCAGGGTTTATGCTTAAATTTACCTTCCTTTTAAAAGAAATCAGGTGCTTAAACAACAAGCTACACTGCTCATGTAACATAAGTTTCCCAAGCCCAAAACACATGAATTCAGCTCCAGCTTCAACTCTATAGCACGGACTCTCTTGCAGAGCTTGGAAGGAGCCTGGCCTGCACACTGCAGGTTTAACAACTGCTTCTTGTGTTGTTTTGCTCACACGCAGCCAGTTTCAGCCCTAAGCACTGGTTTTATTCGTTAACCCTTAGCGTGGTGCGAGGGGGGTCACGTCAGCCGGTCTCTGCCAAGTGCCCCGTGCGTCCGCGTGGGTTCGGCGCTGGGCACCGCGGCGCCTGCCCGGTATTTAAATCTGCTTTTAGGAACCGTGGGGAAAAAAATCACTAAATACATGAGAAAAGGGGTAATGCATGGGCTGAACTCCAGCCTGGTAATGCTCCTGGTTAAGGTGGTGATGGTAAAGATGTGCTTTATCCAAATGTGCATGGTGTGCAAGACAAAAACAAGAGCTTTGGATTAAAGCTTGCGTGCAGCAGCCCCGATGCTCTACAGGAGTTTCTTCCAGGACCCAGATCCCTACAGAAGAGCTGCACACACCAGAGCTGGACTAGCCCCACATCCAGCTCCAGTTAAAAGGGAAGATCCAGAAAATATAACTGTGAAACTCCTCTGTGCTCCTCCAAGGCTGCCCTGCTGCAACTCACAACGAAGGAATCCCCTGATAAAACCTGGGCATTTCTTAAGCAAGTCACGGCCGTCCCGAGATGACAACACAAAACTCCTCTGTGCTCCTCCAAGGCTGCCTTGCTGCAACTCACGCAACGAAGGAATCCCCTGATAAACCCTGGACATCTCTTAAGCAAGTCACGGCCGCCCCGAGATGACAGAGTCATTTATTGAATTCAGCTAAAATCGAGGCTTGACACGATGAACGTCCAGGCGACGGATCCGTCGGACGCTGCCCGGCTCCAGGCGGGACGTTCCCGCTGCCCACGGGAAGGGGCAGACACCGGCTCCAGGAGGTCGCGCTGCCGACTGCGGCTCCGGCACAGCCAGGCCGTGCGCACGCGCCGAGCACCAGCTTCTTCTCCAAGAAAACTGACGCCTTTTGGCCCTTCTTGATGTTAATTAGGCATTTTGCCCCTTCGTTCATCCACTGAAGAGTTCTCTTTGGTGACAGCTACACTCCCGGGTGGACTCGCATTTCATTTTATGTTTTTTTGCCCTTCTGCAGAGAGAAACTGTATTAGGAGTCCGTTGCTATAGAAACAAATCAATCCTCAACAGTTTTATTTTTACCAGTTTCTGTGCAATCGGATTTATCTCATTTCCAGGACTAAGCCCTGCTCCAGGGCGAGTGCTCAGGACCGGCCCAGGGCCACGTCCAGCACCTCCTCTATCCGGCAGAGCCGCCCGCGGGCACCGTCACGGAAGGAGCCCGGGACTTGTCCCATCCCTGTCCGGCCGCGCTGCGAGGGGAGTTTTCCTCTTCTTCTTGGTCTGGGATGAAGGCAGGAATCTGCACGTAGCGCCTCTCTTCTGGATCGCGTCTTTCACTCCTTTTTCTTTCCTGCTTGCTCACCCTTCAATCGCACCGCAGTAACACACTACATTAAAAAAACCAAGTCCATCACATGAACACTGCTCCTTGGCTCCATTGCTCCTAATATCTCACAGAGAGCTGCACACATTCATCTTTAGAAAGCTGCTCTCTGCCAAACCTCTCTTACCACTGGGCAAGTGTAGTTGCAACATTCCAATATCACTGTTAAATCCCCAAAGCTTTTCCCTACGCACTCGGTGTCCAGCTGAACTCGGCAGAGCTCCTGCCCTCGAGATGCAGCTGCATCTACAGGACATTTCTTTGGATTCAGGTCTGCAGAAGGGAACACGTCTTTGGAAGCGAAAGCATCTCACTGCCGCAGTACCTCCTACTTGTTTACACACATACCAGTGGTTTTGCTCCCGAAATTCCTACACACAACTCAGCGGCAGGACACCAAGTTCGGGAGGTCTCCTGTCCACCCTGACTTCCACCCAGCGCACTGAAGCCCCACGAACATCCCTGACCAACAGGAGCAGCCCTTCTCTGTGAGCTGCTCAATGCAGCTCCTTACTCCAGCACAAATAAGGCGAATCCTCAAGTCCTCAAAATGCAAATTTCAAGGAGCCGCCTGGGATTTTAACCAAACCATGAGAGCACCTGACTCAAGCCGCTCCTGAACACAAACTGCCTCCTCAGTTCCCAGTTTCTTGCAGCTATTTTGGAGTTTCTGGGCAGTCTGGCTCAGGGCACGGAGGATGTGGAGCTCCTGGGATCTTCTGTTCAACCTGACGCTCCTCCTGTCCCACCGAGCCCACGACAACCCCTGGCAGAGCATTAGGGTGTTACCACACGGCCATTCCCAAACCCCTTCGGTACTTGGGGACACTCTGGACACTCTCCAATTACGGAGCAGCCACAAGCAGCCTCCTCTGCTCCACCTGAAACAAACCGCGAGCACCTTCGAGGGGGCAAATCCCGCATCCCTGCGGGGTCTCGGCGCACGGTGGAGACGAGGGGCCAATATCCAGGGAATCCCAGCCCACACCCCCACCAAGGAGGCTCCGGAGCTGCCCAAAGCCCCTGCCCTGAAGGGGGAAACAGCACCCGACCCGCTCGCCCGAGGGCACGGAGCGACTTTTCCGGCAAGACGGAAAACCTGGCCTAATCGCAAAAACCTGCTGACCAAACAGGCAAAGAATCTTCCAAAGCTGGACTGGGAGATCACACAGATACTGAACTCTTAAAAAAAAAAAAAAAAAAAAAAAAGCCAATAATTGCAATCCTGAATTATTGCAGAAGTGCTTAGGAAACAATTCCCAAGGAAAGAGCGGGTGCACACCTCATGCCTGTGGCACTAATGCTCTTGGCAATATAGTGCTCAGGTATCTAATTAAAGAGAGATCCGTCCTGCTTAGCTGTTTGCAGGGCAGGGTGGGGAACAGAAGCCAGTTTCAAGCTTGCCCAGATATTATTAATCACAGCAGCCAGAAAAGTCCCAGCCTCGCTCACATCCCTGTTCCAGCCCTGTTTTACGAGGCAGCAGCAACGCGCTGGGAGCAGCTTCCTCCTGGAGGGGAAGGGCGAGATAAGGAGCGTGGAGCCGGCGCCCCGGACCTCGGAGCCTCCCTGGGGCCGGCCCTGCGCGGGCAGCTGCTCCCAAAGCCCCTTCTCCCCCAAGGACCCGCTCCCATCCCGCTGCTCCCACGGGAGCCGGGAATCCCGCCGGAGCGGAGCCGCTCCCCTCATCCCCGCGGATCCAGGAGGGATCGCGCGGCAGCTCCGCGCTGGATGAAGCCCCGCAGGGCACAGCTGGGTTTCCAGAGCACAGGCAGAACTTGTGGCACTTGCCAAATTATTTCTTGAAACCACCACACTGCACAGGAACAAATATGAAGCCCCACTATTTATTTTCCCCCTCCTCTCCTCACCCTACACAAATCACCCTCCTGACTCTGACCACTTTTGGACTACGCTGAAGTGTTTAACCGTTATACCATGTCATTTCCTAAACCAAAGAAAATCCCCAGCAGCGATGCTGCTGCAAACTGACTGCAACACTTGCTTTGGCTTCGGTGAAGCAACCACCAAACCCCTTCGCACGGCAGATGTACACGAGAAAGGTCCTAATTCGCAGCAGAAGTTTCTCCTCGATGCACTGAGGGGTTGCAGCAAAGAGCAGCCGAGTCGATTCTACAGCTCCTGTGCAGAGCGGCCCCATCATATCTCCATCGATGGATTCCCAAAGCGTTTGTAATTGTTGGATTTCTTACTTGGAAGTGCTCGCACGAAGGGTGTTTGCCGCTGCTGTGAACCACGTTCCAAGGAACGGGCTGACTGCAGCGCTGCGGAGACGGGAGGGCTGCGGCGGCCCTGGCTGCAAACGGATCCCAACGGCCTCGTCCCACGGGCAGCTCCCGGGCAGCTCCCGTGAACCCGGCAGGGCTGGGGACCCCCAGGCCCCGTCACTCCAGGGGACCCTCCGTCCGCCTCGTCAAAGCCAGGCGCCCCTCTCCTCTCTAGCTCCTTATCCGCTCTACACCCCTCTTAAGAGCACAACCTACCACTTGTACTCCCTTATCCACACTAGCTTTCCACCGGGGCTGATTTTTCCATGTATTTTTTCGTGTTTCAGGATGGCACATTTGCACCTTTATCTTCCATTCGACCTTTCATGCTTCCTTCTCCTTGGACTCGCAGCCCATCACATCTTTCGCCCTGCTTGCAGAACGTTGCAATTTCTTTTGGAGTTTATGCACATCTTCCACACCCAGAGGGGAAATAAGAAATCCCCAAGGCCAAAGTTCACATTTAAGTTGCAATAAGCCTAACTGCCCCCTGTTTTTAAGTGCAGCGTGTTTAACGCAAACTCTTTTCGTGACCATCTCAAATGCTGAGGAACAGCTCAGAAGAAACCGGGCCCCGCGCGCAGGAAAGCGCCGTGTTCTTTGGAGAACAGGTACTCCAAACAGAGAGACAGCTAAAAAATAGAAACCGAAATACTTCCCTGACCCCAAAAAGACTTGAAATCAGACAGGAGAAGGAACAAGGCGGCTCTGTCAGCCCAGCAGAGCATTCGTGACCCTGTTCTTGGCACGGGCGTCGCGGCAGCCGAGGAGAGCGGAGCAGAGCCATAAGCAGGAGGGCTCTTTTTGAGGGGGCTGCTCCAGATCAGCACCCCGGCCCGGCCCGTCGCCTCCTTGGGGATTTCTTTATCCGCTCACACTGAACGTGGATCCCGCTGGGCCAGCTCGTCTTCACTGCGGAGCCCGGACAGGGGCAGCCACCAGCACCTTCTCCACCCATTTATTTCTTCCATTAACACTCCCAATTAATCGTCCCTCTGACACCCTCTGGGCACCTTTCCAGTCCGTATTTATTGTTTTTAAAATGCACCTAATTATCACTAGGAAAAAAATATATATCAAGACACAGATTTCAGCTTTACAGCTATTCTTGCCCTGCTGCAGGTGGTGCAGGGCTGGCCCGTCCGCACTGCCCGGACCAATTTCTGCCACCTTCCTGTTCACTCTCCCACGCCACCAGTTCCCTTTAATTTGCCCCCTTCGCCTTTCCACTAAGTGCAAGGCAGACCAAGTTTCCCATTTCCTGCTTCCGAGCCCTTGGAGTGATTTTAAGGGAGCGCGGAAAGGCAGAGGCAGCTGTAATTAAACACGGAGGCGGCTGCGGAGCGCTCCCTGCCCCCAGGACGCAGGGGGCCAAGGATGCTCCGCGGAATCTCGGGCCTCCGGAGACTGCAGAGCAGGCGGTAACGAGGCCTGGGCACCAGGGGCAAGAGATAATCTCACACGCTGCAGAGTAAAGCCAGGCCACAACAGGATGACACCCACGAGAGGAGCATCCGAATTTCTTCTCGGATACATTGAGGCCACTTGGAAACTTAATCTGGTTACTCTATTTCAGGGGGAAACTCGACCCGCACTGCAATGATTAAAGTCCAGTTTGGTGCAGCCCTACCAAGGGGACACGAAGGACCCGTTGCTGCTCGGACAATCCCTAAGGAGCGCTGGGACTTGGAGCCATCCCCTGCTCCCACCAGGGCTCCCTGGGGTTACTGCAGCTCAGCAGGGCTCGGGTTCAGCTACAGAAAACACCAGTTTTGAACCCTGTCCAGCTTGGCCCAGGTGCTCCCCAATTGCCAGGCTTCTCGCGGCAGGTTAATTCAGTGGCCATTCCTCACAAAAACCTCGTGTCGATAAAACAAGCGCAAGGGGGGTCAGAGTCAATGAATCCCAAGCATAACAAGTTGACAGGACAGCAGAAATCCTCCCCTAAATTGTCCAAATCTCAGCTTCAAAATCTGGCTGCCAGGCGGCATGGAGAAAAAGATTCAGAAATTGAAAAGTTTGATGGGAGAAAGGGATCTTTAAAGAGTCAATAAAGATGCTCTTAAGGCAGGTGAGCAAATGAGCACAGGCTACGGATGACAACTCCCGCTTGCCATCCCTGCAGCCTGTCCGTGCCACCGTTTACCTGAGGAAAATCCTCCG